GTTTGCGCTATTGCCTGAATATAACATTATGCGATTTTTCGTCAACTGAGTGCATTTTATTATATTGATCAATTTGTAAACAATATAATTTATTTGTTCACAAAGTAATATTGTTCAGTAGTAGTAGTATTTAGTAAAATTCATTGTTTATAATTGAATCATAAAATAAAAAAATTGATAATTCAAATTGTCAAACATTTGACATCAATATGATAAAATCATCGAGCAAAAAGACAAAAGAGGGAATGTAAAGATAGTGGGGGCAAAAATATTGTTAGACAAGAAGTGCGATCTTTGGAGGCCACATTAAACAAGGAAAGAGAGTCTCTCTCTCCTTGTTTGACATCAAATTTAGTTGGGTTATGTTATTGTTTGTCCCAAATGTCACATGAAATCTTATTTATATTGAAGTTTTTTAACAATTGTGTCGCATTTTAGACTATTATCGTTAATAATTAATTCAAACTTTCTCGTCTAAGACACATTCTGAAAAATATTATTATACTGTTAATAAGTGTCGGAAAATTTAAATTTGGCGCATTCGCATTTCCGGATATGTCCGCCATCAGAGGCCACTTTTTTGGTCTCCCTTTCATAAGGATTAGATTCCCTCTTTTGTCTTTTTGCTCGATGGATAAAATACACACGTTATATATTCTTGTATTACGTGTGGCCTAACTTTTAGGGGTGGTCTGAAAAATCTATTATATTTTTGCAAAATTTTGAAGTACATTTGATTCGTAGAACGGTTTTAACATTTGTTTTTAATTCAGATTTTAGTCCTCTACAAATAGTTTTTTATGACTTTTGATCTAAAATAATTAGGGAAGCAGCAATTCAACAATTTAAAATTTCCCATTGAGTTTCCTATGGCCCGTTTGACGATTCACCACCCGGTATAAGAGAAGAGACCTAGACTTTACTATGTCTGACAGAAGACAGAAAAAGAAAAGATCAATTGAAAGATGACAAGAAGAATGGAACAACACAGAGGATGCGGTACAGTAGAAAATGATGCTGATCCCGAACCTAAGGGATTGGGTGGACTGACTAGATTATTTCCTATCGCAGGTGCTCAAAAGACAAGGGTATTTTAGGGCCCATCTCTCTAGGTTCGGCAAGGCTAACACAGATGAATGTTCATATTGTAGGCACCCGGGTACTGTAGTACATACGATGTTAGAGTGCAACAGATAGATATTAAAAAGAAAGAGAATTAATGGAAAAAAAGACTTATGTGAATTTTGTGACAGTAAGAGAAATGATTAAAAATAAAGCAGGTTAGCCTAATGTACACAACTATATACATGCAGTGATTAAGAAAAAAGAAAAAGAAGAAAGACAGCTTGACCAATTTTAAAGGTAAGGCGGAAATATGTGTGAGTTAAAGGTAGAAGGAATACGTATTGATAAGAGGCGCACAAGTGAGTTAGAGTGTGTAAGTCAGAATGTAAGAAAGAGAGGAAATTACTGACTGGAAGTGATGCTGTTTTAGTAAAAATTCCACACACTACCTGTAACAAGGTTTCTCTCACAAGAAGCACATTGGGACCAAAAAATAGAGAAAACAGTAAAAGGGGGACAAGGAGCTTTTTGCTAATAGTTTGTGAATAATTGAAGGTAGTACTTTGAAATTTAGGATAGAATATGTAATGTAAATGTGTTAATCTAGTTTTGTTTCCTCTGTCTATTCTTATGATACATATTTACCTCCTAGCCGCTGCCTGTCTTGTGTTGTAATAAAGTTGCTATGAAAGACACCTTAGCGTGAAAAGTATCTCTATTTTATGTAATCTCTTGTTGGTTCCAAATATTCACTTTGGGTTGGTTAGGGCCTTGAATGAAACGAATGAAAGTATGGTTTCTTGTCAATCTACTGATTTTTGTGATACCAATGTTTAAATTATATTTTTAATTTACCTCTATGCAAAATACTATTTTGTTAACAAATGCAATAGGTCAATACATCATGAACAAATTTAAGTAGTCAAATACATTATTGTGGCTGTATGGATCGACTTATCCAAAGCCATTAATTAAATAAAAATAATACTTTGGAATTGATGCTAAACCTTACAGATTTCGCTTCTGGAACGCTGGATGATAGAGGAGATCTGTTTAGTTTGTCTGTCTCAGAGAATAATTCTCTAAGACAGACAAACTAAACCCATCCTTGTCCAATACCTATCTTGGTCTTGAATTGGTTTGACAACTGATCTAGCCGTATTGTTGCTATATTGGATTGGTACAGGTTTTTAATAAGTGTCACCAGCTGCATTGATGTGCCCATTTTTAATAAAATGGACCACAGATTTATTCAGCTTACACAATCAAATCCTTTTGGCAGTCAACGAAGCATATAATCTTAGGTACTTGAAATTCTCTAGACTTTTCAATAAGTTGTCTCAGGTTCAGGATTTGTTCCCGTGTAAGACAGTGGGTTCTCTAGGGTAGTCAGGGGACCATTGATTTTTTTGCTAGTACCTCGTTATTTTTATATAGCTTGCCACAGTAGTTTCGCCATATTTCCAATAGTTTGTAAGTATCGGTCTTTAAATTACCTTCCTTATCTATTATAGACCACGTTTAAGATTTAAATTCTTTGGTACTTTAACATGCTAGTTTACAAAAACAATAAGAAAAATTTGCTGATATAGACATATGCCCAAAAAAATGTGATGTGATATAGGCTCATTACGTAATATGTATTTTTTCTAGAAAGTATAACAAATTAATTAAAAATAATTTAAAATGCGGTGTCAAATTTGAATCCTTTGCGACACCAAAAGATTGTTCACGTCTAGAACTGTTGATTTCAAGGGGAATTAGAAAAATGAGCTTAAAATAGCTTATTTAATACTAAATTATCATTAGTTTGAGTAAACTGTAAAATTCTGTTTGTTACACATATTTGGTTAGTGATAAAGTCTTTAATGTATTTTTCTGCTATTGTTAAATTGCAATGGCCGGCGCAATCACCTGGTGTTTGGCCATTTTAAATATTCTGCAATCTTTTTATGAACTTTACCGATCTTGTTAACTCAAATTACTTGAAGTATACATTTGACTTCATGAAAATAAAAAAAGTTTGAGATAATGTAGCTTCTTATGTTTTAACTTTCCATTATCATCATCAATTAGCCAATCGCGTCCACTGCTGGACATAGGCCTTCCTCAGTTCTTTACAGTATTCTTTACACTGGGCCACTTGTAGCCAGTTTCTCGCTACACGTTTTATATCATCGGTCCATTTAGTTGGTGGTCGTCCTCGGCTTCTTTTATAGTTTCTGGGTCTCCATTTCTTTTGTCCACCGTCCATTTTGTGTTCTGCCCAGTTCCACTTAAGCGTCGTGGTTCTTTCGATGACGTCTTGAACTCCTGATCTTTGCCTGATTTGTTGGTTTGTTATGTGGTCTCGAAGGCTCATGTTCAGCATTGCACGTTTCATGACTCGTTTAACTCTGAGTTTATTAGCAGATTTTTGCGTGAGTGTTAATGTCTTTGCTCCATAGGTTTGTACAGGCAAAACACATTTGTTATAAACCTTTCGCTTGAGACACATGGGAATTGAACTTTTTAGAATATGGCTGAATTTGCCAAATGCTACCCATGTCCGACCTATTCGTCTCTGTATTTCATGTGTTTGATTATTTCGATCTCGTGTTCCAGATATTTGTAAGTGTCTGTTTGTTGTATGGTATTATTGTCAACAGTTATATTTCCACACATTGCGAGATTTGTCATAAGTTTAGTTTTCTCAAAGTTTATCTTTAATCCTGCTCTTTCAGACAGACTTTTAAGCGAATGTATCATAGAAACTGTATTCTGTAAGGTATCTGCGATTAATACAATATCATATGTAAACCTTAGATAATTTTTTAATCTTCCTCCATCTATATTGATGCCCAGATCTTGCCATTAAGTGTTCTTAAATATTGACTCTAGATCTGCCGTGAACAATTTTGGTGAAATATTGCCTCCTTGTCTAACTCCTCGACCTAAGCTGAATTTTTCTGTATCTTTGTGTAGTCGTATACTTGATGTAGCGTTCTCGTAGATGTTTTTGGTTAGTGTCGTGTACCTGTAATCTATTTGGCTTTGATTTAGGTCTTCCAGTACTGTTTCAAACTCTACAGAATCAACATCCTGCTCGTAATCGACAAATGCAAGAACCATTGGTATGTGGAACTCGAAGCACTTTTCTATTAAGATCTTTATGGAATGCAAAGGGTCATTTGTGCCATATCCTGCCCTGAAGTCTGCCTGTTCTTTGGGCTGATAGAAAACAAGTTTAGGTGTTAGTCTCTTTGTTAAGATTTTCATAAAGAATTTGTACATTTTCATATACTTCCTGCTTTTATTGCCTCAATAACGAGTCCATCATCACCAGGCAATCGATGGTTCTTCATTTTTTTTAAAGCTGCTCTTACTTCTGACACAGTAATAGGTAACAGTATTTCCGATCCCTGATATATGAGAGGCTTTACTCGTGTCGGGAAATTGTCTTGTGGTCTTTGGCTGGTATAGAGGTCTTTATAAAACTCTCTGGTTATTGTCAGAATGTTTTGTTTATCTGTTGTTGCCTTTCCGTCTTTATCTCTCAGCTTGTATATTTTTTTTGTGGGAGTTGTCTTTTCATTATCTTTAAACCTTTGTTCTCTTCTACTGTTTAAGTAATTACATTTGACTTCATGGCAATTAAAAAACTGAGATAATGTAGCTTCTTATGTTTTGACTTTCCATACATTTGGTATTTATATCCTAAAATTTTCAAATGTTGTGCATATTTTAGTTTAAGATTTGGAATTTTAATAATTAATTTTTGCCTTAATCTCCAATATTATTCAATTTCATAAGTTGAAATTCTTGCTTGCGGCTTCCCCCACAAATTACAATATTTAAAATCACTTCGTACATTTATTCTTATCGTAAGAATGACTTTTCTTAAAATATTCAATGTACTAAACCGTTAATTATTTTTAAATTACATTTTGATACAGGCTGCCACTTGTCCTGCTGGAACTACACCATGCTTTGGTACAAATACAGCTTGCGGAACTAGATTTATTACGCCGAATATGACTGGTAACGGAGCTGCCAGCTATGGAGCATATCCGTGGCAGGCGTATCTTAGGAATACGACCAATGCATTTGCGGGCAGTGGTGTTCTTGTAAGCCCTTACTATGTAATAACTGCTGCACACAAAGTCTACTTAAATGTGTAAGTGTAAATTAAGTTATTATTATTTATTAAATACAAACAATTGTTCATTGATTTTTATAATTTAGATATTCATCTTAAAAATATTTGGTTTGCTTTCTTTAATCACATTTTTATTTTTCCTCTATTCTCTCCAAAATGTTAACTTCAAAATCAACAGTTCTTTACAATATATATACATTTATATTTTATAAGTAAAATCCTTGTTAATTAGTACTGCTGATAAGAACTGTTTACTAACAGAAATCCGCAATTTAATAAAAATCTACCACGGAACTTATAGGCAGTGTTCACAAATCGTTTTTTCCGGACGTTTCGTTTGCAACGTTAACGGAAACCATTGAGAAGCCGACGTGAATAGCCATCGCGGTCATTACACGGTCACACCAATTTCTTTTTTTTTTTTAGAAAAGTAACAAATTTGTCCAAACTGTTTCCATGAAACAATAAATTAAAATTTAAGTAAAAAATACAGCAATACTACCACTTTGACATTACCTTTTATATTTTTTTTAATGCCGTATTGTCACATTTCAGTAAGAGCCTTAAAAGGTATCCATTGAATTCTGACAGGCAACGGTGGGGGAAATATTTTTGGACCTCTACGTCACTGAACAAGACATCCTGGTATCTTTCGGCCGAGTGTGATACTAAGCTACTAAGCTAGAAGACCCCAGGGTAGTGCTGAATTAACCGTGTTTTATATATATATATATATATATATATATATATATATATATATATATATATATATATAAATATATATATATATATATATATATATATATATATACTAAATACGGGTATATATATATATATATATATATATATATATATATATATATTATACATATTATATATATTACCATACCTATTACCGTAAATCAGAAAATGTTTAGACGTTAGGTCATAAAATAATAAACAATATTAACCATAAATTTTTAGATCTCTGGATTAATTTCCTCTGTCCTCCTGTTTCTTTTTCTTCATCACCCCAGAAATCAGACAGTGTAATTCTCTCAACATTATGTTTACAATATTTCTTTCATCCAGCCCGAAACCCATTCGCCTCTCGAAATCTCCCATCTCTGGCAGTTAAAAATGTGGGCGGGAGCATCGTACCGCACAAACAGTACAGTCTGCCGAGGTAGATTTGCCTATTCTATTTGTGAAGGTGCCAAAACTACCATGTCCGGTCAGAAACTGCGTCAGGAAGTAGTCTAGTTTCCTGAACTTACATTCTTACCACGGTCTCAGACCAGGAATAAGCTCCTTCATCTACCTTGCCTTTCCACTATCATTCGCCCATTCTCTGCTCCACTTTGCTATCGTTTTTTCTCTTTCATTCTCATGTATATTTACATCCATCCTCCTCACATACATCCTCGCTCGCTCTTTACACAAAAAATCGATCGGTACCACCGCTCTAATGACATATAGGCCTGAGAAGCATTTGCTAAGTCTCCATCAGCTTAGCGTATTTCGCAATGTTTAGTGCACTCCACCACATAGGGGCAGCGTAGGTTACTACCGACTGGAAAACTCTATTTACCTTTTATATCTAGGAAAAGAATTGAAGAATCTAGAAAGTATTAAACAAGATGTTTATGCTCCAAGACAAAATAACGATTTATATATAAAAAGAGTCAATTGTAACATCGATTAACAGCGACAACCGAAAGGTGAAGCTTATTTTCGCTTAGGCAGGACAGGTTGGTAAAGTACATTGATGTTGGTATGGCGCGAGAGAGAGACTTATGGCGAAATTTAATTAGGAAAGCCGACCCCGAATAATACTTACTGAGTTCGAAATTTTAACTGATTCTAGATATGAAATTTTTAGCCCAATATGCTGTTATGTCGATTCCTGCATCACTGGCCAAACAAAGGTCGTTAAGGATATAAGTTCAGGGACATCTTGGGCATAACAAAAGATGCTTTATATTTGTTGTAATTCAAATTTGCATAGATTAGTAGTTTGCAGCTTCCCTTTTATTTCGTTAATCTTAACTCTACCTATCAGTTCTAATAAGGTTTAATGTCCTCTAGGTCTTCCAGTCGAGGCTTCTATTGGATAGCCTTCTTTCTTAGGAAGGTGGGTAGTTTTTTGATGGGTCGACTGACATACAACGCAGGAAGCTTTTTCTAAATTTTAGCCTTGAACTGCTGGTTTCCGTGGTGTACGGTGAGTGGTATTTATCAAAGGTTTGTTTAGATTTTTTTTATATTCAGCAGCTGCTCTGCGTTTTTTGGGTGATTAAAAACCTACCGCCTTATACAGGACTTTAAGTGGGCATTATAGATTTAGTTACTATCCTTTATTCAAGGATACATCAACTTGTTTTGCGTGAACTGATCGATTCCAGATTGAGCAGGCATACTCGGCTGTTGCAGAACGTGTTATATATGCTGTTAGTCTCATTATGCTAGGACTTGCTTCCCGACTACTTTCATTTAATTTTATAGTAGAACATTTATGGGTGTGACTTTTTGTTTTTGGTACTTATATGTTAAAGATCTGTCAAACGTAACTCCAAGGTATTTTGTCTGTGTGCTGTAGGATCTTTCCCTCCCATGCGAATTTAAGTTCCTGCCTCGTGCTTTTTGTATTTAGATGAAAGGAGCTTACTGTTATTTTTTGGGAATTTAGGCTAAACGTAGTAGACATATTGTTTAGAGGAGCTTCGAGATTTTCCTCGATATTATTAAAGGTCTTCGGCAGGTCATCGGTATATAAAAAATGTCTTGCGTTCTCTGTTTGTCATATTGAATACAGCTGGTGCAGGTATGCTTCCTTGGGGCAGGACATTTTTTTATCTTTTCATTTATTCCTCTTTCCGTATAATTTAATGTAGTATATTCTGTTCTGCAGCATAAACTGTATGATTTTCGATGGATCATGGTATCGTTCATAGTTCATGGTTCATCGTCATGGTCATCGGACACCAAGATTCGGCAGGAGAAGATAAGCACACAGGGCTTCCCAGGCCGTTATCCAGCGAAATCCCTGTGATGAAGGAAAAGAAATCAGAATAAATTCAGGTATCAAAATAGGCACATGGAATGTGAGAAGTCTCTACGAGCCTGGTAAGATACAAAACACCATACGTGAGATGATAAGGCTCAATATACCAATCCTTGGGATAAGCGAAATGCGATGGCCAGGGACTGGCAAATGTAACATAGACGACCACGATGTATTCTATTCCGGAGAAGAAGGTACTAACCACTGAAATTGCGTCGCATTCATTGTACATAAAGAAATCTCTTCCTGTATTAAATCTGTAAGTTACATTTCGGACAGGGTCATCGTAATGCAATTAAACTCAAAACCAGTAGATATAAATCTGGTCCAAGTTTATGCGCCCACAGCCAGCAGTAGTAAAGATGACATAGAGAATTTTTATGATTGTATAAAGAAGGTAATGAGTCAGCTGAAAAACAAAGACATTACTATAATGATGGGAGACTTCAATGCCAAAGTAGGAAAAGGTAGACAAGAAAACATTGTAGAGAATTTTGGACTTGGACAACGTAATGACAGAGGAGACCGTTTTGTAGAATTCTGCGTAGAGAACAATCTTTGTGTGACAAATACATTCTTCAAACTACCCAAACGTCGTTTATATACTTGGAAGTCACCAGCAGATACTAAAGAAAAGATCATAAGAAATTAGATCGATTAACAATTACCGAGAGGTACCGAAATTCAATCAAAATAACTAAAACACTACCTGGAGCCGATGCCCCCTCAGATCATAACTTATTAATCAGTGACATAAAACTCAAACTTAAAATTCACAAGGAATCTACGTTCCTTAGTTGGCTGTATACCATGTATTAAAAATTTAATTAAAAATCCTTTGTAATAGGTATATATTTAAGGCCCAAACGGGGTAAGTTAAAAAGACATAACGTTTTCGGAAACCATGTTCCATCATCGGTGTCTAGGAGTACATGAATGTAGCCACCAAGATTAAATATATGGGTAAAAACCCGTTAACAGATGTTTAATTACATTTAGTTTTAAAAATACGTTATAATAATTTAAGATTATAGAGTTACCGATGGATTAGGTAACATGGCGACATATGACTCCACGTTGAAGTTGCTAGTCCTGAGACGGTATGTCTTCGAGGACTGTATGAGTGCAACTCAATACATGTATGTATGACTGTATAATGATATGTAGGTTGATCGAATAAGAAATGAAATAGTTTTACATCGAATGAAAAAGAGCATAGAAATAGCAAAAACGATAAAAATTCGGAAGTTACAATATTTCGGTCATGTAATGAGACATTCAGAGAGGTATAACCTTCTACACCTCATAATACAGGGTAAGATCGACAGAAGGAGAGGCCCAGGCCGACGAAGAACATCCTAGCTACGAAATCTCCGAGAATGGTATCAAGAAACCACCTTTAATTTATTTAGAACCGCCGTGAATAAGGTTATTATTGCCAATATGATCGCCAACGTTCGATAATCGAACAGGGCACTGAAAGAAGAAGAAGAATGGTATCGTAGGCAGTTATTAGATCAGCCAATACACCTTCTTTTTCTTGTTATTGAGCCGTCTCCTTTCGAAGGTTGGCGATTCAAATGGCAATTATAGCTTTGGAAACTGCTGCACGAAAGATTTGCTAATAAACACATAACTATCATTCACATTCGAAATACCGACAATAACAAATTCACAAATTAATTAAGCAGTGAATGATTACATCATTCCAAATACGTATTATTTGAATCTCAAAAATAGACGAAAATATTTCTACGTAATTTTACAAAAAGAAAATCGTAGCAGTTAAACTTGGGATAGACTTGATTCAACGAAAAATTGGATGAAAGCAAATACACAATATAACTAAAAAAATTATTCAAAACAAACAAACTCAATGATACACATACAGGGGGATACAAAACAACAGACTTAATAAACTGCACATACACAGGGAGACAAAAATATTAATAATATTAAAAACTTGACTTTTGAG